TAACTTTAGAGTCACCGTTAAACACCACAACAAAAGCTAGGACAATATGCCGTCCCTGTACGGTAAGATAGTCGACTCTTCCCAAGTTTCCTAATTGTTTAGGTGTTTGGAAAGAATACAGATAGCTACCAAATCAATGCGGGGACAGTATTCTTCAATCACTATTAAGAATATTGCACAATTAGCCTGCGGGCAGGAACTTAACAATAAATTTCCCTGCTTTAATGACAGCATGAAGCGTTTATTCAGAGAGGCAGGCGACTCGGAGTAGTTATTCATTGGCTGTGTTGACATCGTCGCCATCACGCAAACGGACGGCATATGTTTTTACTCCTGTTGTTACGCGACAGGAAAGTACATTCACAAACACGGAAAATACAGTTTGGGAAATGCCAAATACAATCTGCAGAATTTTCTACGGGGGCTGTTACTGCCTCGTGCAACTTTTTCTTTCATATCTGGGAAGGCAGGAGACAAGATAAGAGAACCCATCTTTTGTCCTAACAACGCCAAAGTCATCTTGCATCATTTGAAATGATTTGCACGGAACAGACATTCACTAGGCACATGTTTCATCATTTGTATCACACCTTGCACCCTTCTACCATTCATGCCAGATTTTCTCCATGTTTTTCTTAGTTTTGCATGAATGCATGGAAACAGAAGAAGTAGACGAGGAGGCCATTATTACAGAGGTACCTGTACGGACGCTAGGAGGCGCTATTTTGTCAGAGAGTTTTGCAAGTGCCGAACGACACGGAGCGAATCTACTGTGTCTTCACATCTCATGTACCTATCGATATAAGATACCAGCATGGCACAATGTCACACATATGCAAGCGTTCATAGTACAGCTCAGAATCTCATCATCCGTGGCACAACCACAATGCCGCAGTTTACACATCAAAAATAGTGCTTCTATTTTCGGCTAATGCAAAAACGACTTTGATCTTCCATTATCTCGATACTAATTTTCTTAACAAGTACAATGTCACCAACCATTTGAGCCCAGAAAAGTACTTTTTGCTCACAAGGTCGCGTCCACACAACGTCACAATTGTGTTGTGGACATCTATGGCTACTTTATTGATATCCAGGACCATATCACGAAAAAGAAATTTCTGCCGTCCCAAAAAAAATAGGAGATGAAATCTATCGTTAGTAAATGAATAGGGATTAATAAATTCCCACGGAAAATAGACGAAGGGGTCCGCTGCATTACATGTCAGATTATATCATGTTTACGTTGAAGTCTTTGTGTCGGAGTATAGAGAGTGTAGATCAAAGTAAAATCAGGAGACACCCCTTGTTCGCGGGCACTAGCGCCCGGCAGGGTACGGCTTGTTTGCGTCCTTACCACCCTGAGCGCGGCGGTACGACCGGGGCTGGCCGCACAAATAGGCGGCATTAAACGTACTTATTCCCGCTGCAGCACGGAGAAAATTGCCCGTAATTACCGCAATGTTGCGCTCTCTCGCGCTGATTCCCCCCACTCTATTTTAACTAAGCGTAAAATGTTTTAAATGTTCCCACGACGTGTCCCCGTCAACTGCGCGACTTTTCCCACCGGAGTTTAATGGTAGACAGGGGACAAGCAGAACTAGGCTCGCGGGGTTACAGCATACGGAGTAAGTCATACCACAGGCTTGTGTCGGGAGAATAGTGTGTCATAAGGCCTTTAATGATAACAGTAATGAAACAGTCTACAACAGACGGACAAATCAAGTCTATCTTTACTGTGTTGATGTTATGAACCGCCCCCCTCCCCACTCAGAAATCCACCTGCTCCACATATTTCCCCTCCCTGACAAGCCATTTCCGAGGGTTGTTGGGGAGGAAATGTTGGCCTCCGTCCGAAGACGAAGAGGAAAGTCTGTCCAGATGGAGAGCTGTCGGCTGGTGTTGACCCAACACGTTCCCTACCCTTCCTTCCACGCGCGACATGATTACATTTTCCCAAATTTCCCCCCGTAAAAGCGGCGGAAGGACGAAGTCTCTCCGGTCACGCGGTAACAGCAAAGTACCCATTCTCCGTCGTCCCACGCAGGTGCGCTGGTCTTCGCTTAAGTCGACAACACTGTAAGTGGTTTAATGGGCTTGTGTTTACACGTCCCGATCAAGAGAGACTCCATTTTCGTCATCACTTTGTTGTGACACTCGATCATCTGTATGTGCAGGGCGGGGAGAACTTAATGTGCTTGTACAGAAAATTGTTTGAAGCGGCGATGATTCGGGAGATTGGCCGTGTGCAGAGGAGATTACTGGGACCCAAAGTCCGCTACAGACACAGCGACAAGAAACGACTTTCTGACCAGGCGATTCACGTCGTCCGGCTGGTCACCTTGGAAACAGATCCATGTAGACTTTAAGACTCTTTAAAGACTTTCACAGGCTTATACACATTATAATGCCAACTTAACAGCATGGATACTGCAACATAAAAGTTAGATAGACATAAAAGCACACGTCAAAGTGTAAATGATCAAAGACGCGTTGAATAAGAGAAGGCAAAAATATGAATAAAATTGCATGCAATTTTCACTTCATTTTTAGTCTTAAAAATATGAAGAATAATATCGACCGCAATCAAGTACTACAAGCCATTGATGACTTCTGTCTTGTAGAACGTTCAGTCTAATGCGGCCTTGAATAAACCTTCCTGACACATCACGTCTGGTTGCTTCCTGACCAGCTTTCCGTCTGATGTGGTTAGCGCCAGTAAAATGCCATATCTAACGAAAGGAAGAGATTTCATTCAAATCCATATAACGGGCAATAAGTCAGGAAGGATATAGAGGCACAAACAGTAAATCTATAAAGCGACATCTTCTGACGACTTCAATGTAGAAGGAGAATGAAAAATGAAGCCGGAAAGTTCCCGTATTTAATTAAGCACAGCATTATGGGATAACACCGTTAGATCTACAGAGAGTGGCATATCGGTTGTCATGGTGACGACATCAAAAGTAAATCAACTCGCTCTAAGACCAGTGTGCTGTTTGATGACGTCAAACCAAACTAGGTCCAATTGTTTACACTGTAACAGCATTAGGCGGGAAGGATGGGTACAATATGATCCTCTGCTGTCTATTGACGAGAATAAACCAAATCTCTCTTAATTGCCCGGTCACTGGCATGATAGTCTCTGTCCTGTGTCAATTAATTGACGGAAATACAGGATTATTACACTAATCCTTCAAATTACCTACACGGGTGACTTAGGAAGTTTCCATTTAAACATAAGTGAATATAATACAGTGAGAAAATATTTCGTACGTATCCGGGCGCTGATTCATGAAATCGTATTTTCACCCCCGCATGTTTTATTATATACATGGTACCCAGACACGCATGTCTGTTTAAAAGCACGAAATCTTTGTCTCTACTTAGGTCCAGTTCACACTTTAGTATTTGATACTGTACAACGAACGTTATGTATAGCTGCGTATTATATCAATTATCACAAGACATTTCGGTCAAAATACTGAATCCAGTGTTTTCTGTGTTTCTAGTCGAGCATACATTATTTAGAAAGATTGAAGGATAACGGGGAAAGGTTCGTGCGAGACTTTCACACTTTTTCTCAGCCTTGGCGTAGCAAAACGGATGTGAATAAGGCCAATTAAACATACCTGCCACATTAAACTGACATGCCATGTTGACAGGACACAGCGATATGAAACATCATACATTAAAGCTTTTGGGTTTGGAACAGCAAGACGCCATATCATGTGAACTATGAACCATGGAAATGTTTTTCGCCAGGTTTTTCGTCCTATTTTCATCAAGCCGCCCGCAGACAGGGCTGATAGAGACTGTTTATCTGTATCACCAGAAGGACCAGGTCACGAAAGCATCGGTATAACTAACTAACTAACTAACTAACTTACTTACTGACTAACTGACAAACAAAGCGTGAATCTCTTGAACATCGGCATGGAATCATCATCTAATTTGAAATACGTATATTTCAGCGCAAATGACGCGTTACATCTGTAAAACGTGATCTCTAGATGGTTATAGTCTGTAAAAGCTCACTATTCAGTCGAACATGTAACTGTACAGAAGTAGTCGGAGTAGTGCTGAGCGTGTTCGACTCTTAACTTGACCCTGGGAGGGAACCCATCCAACCCGGCTTCCCCTCCATCCGACACGGATGTTGTGTTCTGGGCGGGCGTGATAATTAGCCTACTGACACCCCATTGGTCGGCGTGTACGCCGCATAATCCGCCTCTCACTGTTATTGTCAACAACGATTGCAGTTCCTCTCAATGAAAAAGGCCCTCGGGCCCCTCCATCGCCTCTTTATATCCACAGAGGAAATGTAATATTGCCAGGTAGACCCCGCGCGGCGCAGCTCGGAGTCGTGTAGAGTAAAGTGTGGAGCGGACGAGCAGGTCGCAGACAGGCGAGCTGAGACAAACAGACGGCAGGGTAGCGGTCACGGGCTGGTGCCGCCCAGGTCTACATAGATGTCTTTACTCAAAGCCTCGGTGTCATCCGACTGCTACAGTCACCATCGTTGCGCCTTCAGTATACCGATGTTTCTCGCCGGTAAAAACGATATTTTTGTCCTGTAGTCATTATCCCTTTACAACCCCGTCTTGGCTAGTTTTCCCGCTGCACGCGCTGAGCCGTGCGCCTGACGTCTAATGTTTCCCGTGTGAGACAGGTGCTTATTTCCCAAGCCCTGGGATCAATGTGTGCAAACTCATAGTTATATCACATACACTTACTGCTGTTTCCCTTCTTGTTTTCTCTATTAATGCTGTGTAATTTACGTTTGTAATTTACTATTTATTTACCAGGTCGACGCGCAGTTAACATGCGGGAAGCCCCGCGTCTCTGCCCCCCTTAGTCCTACATGACGCGCAGTCGTCACCCTGCATCTAATCCCCAGTCTTTACGGGCTCCAGTCTTCTCCACAGTCTATATGATATCTTTATTCGTTAGAACGCAGGACACATTCCCTGCTTGACATTTTGCTGTTTTTCCCGTAGACCCGTCGTACGAGTGCCTGATGAGAGAGCGGCAGGCGGCGGGGGGATGGAACGCGCAGGCAGGCTCCGCAACCACGGAGAAAGGTACGATCTTCTCACACACTATAGCAGTTTCCTCTACACTTGGCCGAGCTAGCATTCATATCATCGCCACCGTTAACGCATCCATAGAAAATAGTGTTAGCTACAGTTGTACCTTCAAAAGGCTATGGCCGTGCGTTCACCGTTGTTTGAGTTCGCTGTCTGAAAATCACCACCGTGCCAGCTTCATGTCTGAACCAATTCTGATATTTCTATCGCAAAAACATCGTGAGCTTGTACCTGTAATTGTGTTAACTGTACGGTACTTTTATTTAGAATATTGTGAGTTACAGTTTGCTGTTTTGTCGCGGCATGACCGATTATAGTTCAACCCGTAGTCCCTAACATTTGCCACCACCCTTAACAGGTAGTCAGGGTAAAACAGCTGCCCCGAATGACCTCAAATTTAGTATCTGTATTTTGTGGTGTCGACAGTACCTTCTGTAGAGCCCGTGAAGCTCGAGGTGACTGATTCTGCCCGGCCTGTGACCCGGGAAGTCACACGTATTTCCTGCGCGCCAGCTATCTCTCCCGCCCGCCGTAAGGAGCGCCGATGAGTTCCCAATATCCTGTAGTAGCGCTTTCCAGACGGCTGTTATTTTACGGTAGGGCCAAATATAACTAACCTTCCCTCAAGTTAATTTTACCCGTTAAGAAACGGTCGCCGTTTACAGTCGGTATTTTCTACGCGGCAGTCCTTGATAGAGAAGGGAGACGGAGACAAAACGCTCTGAAAGGCGTCGATTTGGCGGCGGAACTAAGGGTCAGCGGCGGAATTTCCGACTGTCGTCGGGACTCGGTCATGTTCAAGTGGCCCCACATGAAAGGTAGACAACGGCCCTGTGCCGTTCTTGGCCGCATCAAAGCCGAATGTTTGTCTCAGCTTTCCGTGCACATCCCCTGAACACTTTATCTTCCCGGGCAGTGAATACTGCTCGTAGCTCTCCGCCTTATCTCAGTCCACATGAGCAATTATCGCCCGAGCACAGAGCAGTCGTGCCTGTCGTTCATAAACCGCCTTCAATAGAAAAACGGCTTATCTCTCGCGCGCAGGGAACAATAGGTGCCGCGCTTTCTCACCGCCGCGAGTCGCAGCCGCTATATGACATTTTCCTACCCTTATCTGTCAGGGAGAATTTTCCACATTAACGTTTCCCTTCTTTTCTTTTTCCTCTTATTTATCCTCCCAGACTTCACAGCGCCGTCTATCCACTCCGTCACCAAGCCCGTAGTCGATGTAGCCAGTGTGCATGCTCAGACAAGGAACATGCAAGGTAACACGCACACGTACACACGTCTTCCTCTCTCTTACTCTGCTCTCATCTTTGATCAAATTAGTAGATGTCGGACGTACAGGAAGGTCTCTTCACTTGAGCAGGATGTCGGGGCTGATGTATGCTCTTGAGGAGGGCAAAGAACACGGCCTTTCTCTCAACGCCCATTTCCTGACAGAAGATAAAGGAATCCGGTCCGTCCGACCCCGATAAATCTATAGCTGTATCTTGAAGCAGCACGATGGGTTAATGTTGTAGAGCGATAGCAGGGGAAGGGCGACACGTTTGGACATCTGTGAGGTGCTGTGGGGCACAGCGCGGACGTTTGGTTGTACGTGACAACTACAATCAACACAATAACTATCAAATATTCATTAATAATGCCTTTCAGTGGATAAATCGGTTGATACATAAACAAGGTATGTAGCTGGATGGAGAGAGAGAAACCGATAACTAGAATGCAAGAGCAGATCGTATGTTTTCAACACATTCGCCGTTTTATTCGTTTGAAGAAAAATGTGATTACAGAGGAAGCAGTAGTCTCCAAATTGACACAGGTGGGATCGGTTTCGTCACAAAAGCACAATTTTAAGTGAATTTTCTGCAAGTTTTCGTTCTTATTTTCGAGATATTTCAAAGCGGCAAATTGCGATGCCAAAGAAAGGTTCTAAATGCAGACTGGAGGTTCTATGATGTAAAATGAAACATCTTCATCTTTCCTCACAAATTGAGGTCGACAGTTTCATTACCTAGCCTACAGGACAACAAGGTGCAAACACAGCGATATAAATACCTCATGTTTGGTATCATTCTTGGCGCCGTCACACACTAGTGTTTATCAACATTTGCCTCTCCATGACGTCTCCTGTCCTGTCATGAGCATCCTTTACTCCATTATTATATAACGGTGTAGTGCATTCACAGCAGATCGTGATTTGGCAAATTTCCTCGTTACAACGCTATCTCTATTGAACTATAATTTTCTGTTTCCTTATTATTTCCCACAGAAATTGTTTTTCGCCTTTTTTGGAAATATGAACAGATATGAGCCTGTATATTCATGTTTCGTAACGCTCTAGCCGTTTGGCTTTACCTGACGTTTTACGTAAATTGGGTTAGTCAAGGGCTTTCCACGGGAAGTAACTGTATTGGTTGCCATATTTTCTGTTGTTATGGCGGGTACACGTAACTGCTGGGTTTCTATGGCCCTGGGCGTAAGGGAACACCAAAGCATCTCCAATGCAAACTAAATAAACTAAATATACCTCACCTCAAAGGCAGGCATCTGAACGATACAAAAGGTTACCTGCGAGCATAGTTGGCTGGTCGTTGATTTAAAGCCATGTTTTGGCGAATCAGGGCGTACATGTATCTACTGTGTAGCAGTGGTGGATACACAGGTGATGTGGAAATGAACAGTCTGTTTGTTTGTTTCTTTCCCCTGCAGTGACCGACCCGTACCAGCTGTTTGCACCCATCACCAGTCGACTGTGTAGCCAAGGTACGTACAGCACTGCTTTCCTCAACAGTCACATCAACACACATGTAACCATGGTACGTACAGCACTGCTTTCTTCAACAGTCACATCAACACACATGTAACCATGGTACGTACAGCACTGCTTTCTTCAACAGTCACATCAACACACATGTAACCATGGTACGTACAGCACTGCTTTCTTCAGCAGTCACATCAACACACATATAACCATGGTACCCTAACCATCTGTCCTGGAGTACGGCAAACGCTAATGAGGGAGGTGACATTCATGCTGGAGAGCAAAGTAAAGAGAAATGGACGGTCATGAATTCGTATTACATCCACTAAATTATCATTAAATTTACCACTGAGTGCCTAACAAAGGGTATGAAACAAATAATCCTTTCATGGTTGGAAAATGGTCACAAAGACACTGAAATAGACGATGTGTACTATGAGTATTGGGCAAGGTGAAGGTTCTTGGTGGCTATGTGTAGTTAGTATTCAAATTCTATCTGAATCGTCAATATTCTTTACCGGTAGATTTAACTGTAAAAGGTCGATGAACGATGATACCAGCAGTCGTCTGTGGGGTTAAGACGGTGGTTCACAGGGACTTACAAAAGGAACCGTTAATTCTATAACCCTGCATAATCAAGGTAAGCGGCAGCCAGATAAAGACCAGGCGAAACGCGCCCTCCTCTCTGTGCGGGTGACAATACTTCAAGCAGTTATGCGTAATTAAGGATCACGCAGATCATGTGTAAGGTGTGCTTTCAATCATCCGATCTGTAAAATGAAAATTTTGTGTTGTAATTTACAAAGGAACATTATGCTTTTATACGTTTTGATAATGATAAGACCAACACATACTCAATTATAGAAAATGAATTTGAAAACGACCAGACAGGACAGCTAACAGCCTACTCTGTGGTCAGCAACTTGACCATAGCGCCAGCCGAGCGTTTTAAAACGTGAATACCTGTGTGTCAAATTTTCAATCCACCATAATTTGATAATCCTACCCATTTGCATGGATGATTATGCTTTGCTTTTCGGACTGTAAAGATTATTTTATTTCTACGTCCAATATTCTCTACTGAGCCTCATATTCCCTCTACCCCCCTGATTTGGTCCATATCTTCGAATTTGTCCCACCAGCTGTGAACGTGCCCAGCGTGACCGGTAACTGTCTGAATACCCTGACTGTGTCTTTGTCAGAATAATTTTTGAATGTTTTCATTTGTCAATTCAGTTATCGGCGGAACTAGGCTAAACAGGCCCTGGAAACCAAATGATTTGGTTTTTCATTCTCGTTAAAGAAGGCACATATGTCGTTATATATTTTTCCATCAAATTATATCAAGATATATACAACTACTACAATTTCGCGTCGCCACCTTGACCCTTTATTTCTCTTAAGTGTGCTGGAATTATTTTCTGTAACGGTTGTTTAGACTTCACGATAATATTAACCAAGTGCTCTCGGTTAAAGCGCCTAAACGATTGAATCGCCACGCCACATCCGCATTTGAGAATTTATTCTTTCACATATAACCATTTAACGATACTTCCGTCTGAGCTCACCTTGCATGAAACACAAATGACACTAATATGATTGTGTGAAATAGTTAACAAAAGGAAATACAGGAAACAAAGGGAAATACAGGAAAGCGTCGGAGAGGGAAGTAACTAACCATATATGGAATATCCTCCTCACACCATGACTTCCGGCCTGGTGTATTAACGGAATATCTTATGAAATAAACAGAGTAGAAATCATGTTTGGCAGCTGGATATTGATATAAACGGATTTGTCTGTACATGTTGTTGTGTAGTCTCTACCGGGCGTCGGAAACGGCTGGAAAGAGTAGAAATTTGCTGAGTAGACAGATAAATGCCAGGGGAGTTGGTCCGCCAAGGACTACATTTGCCGCACACAAAGTAATACAGAGGTATTGACTGAATGAAGCGAAATAAACCGTCTTTAAATAATCAAGTGTTACATACAAATCAAATAGCCAGTAATCAGGTATAATTAAGGTAAAAAGCAATAGCGAAGTCTGCCACAGTAGGAGTTACATGTATAAATGATAGGAAATATACAATTTGATCGGTAACATGGGGCAATTTGTGCACGCTGTCCCTGGTGCTGAATGACTATCCCTGCGTATTCCAACAGGATATAACAACTGTTATAACTGTTACCTACGCGACATTGGATAGCTTTCTGCGCGGTAGGAACACTCTTTATGTTGTACTCGTAGTTGCCATATGGTCTGTCCTTGGTGCTGAAAGCCCGGTGTTGTGTTTCAAAGCCCTCCAATAACAAGAAACTGCAAAACGTCATTATTGCATTTGTCGGTAGAAAACTCAATGCATGTCTACCTTTAGTAATACTAGACCGAGGAAATTGTTATTGCGTGGAAGAAACACTTCAGAACTATTTTGCTAGGGGATTTTAACGTTGATACTGTGATATGAAAATAATATTGTTCTTCCAAAAAAACAATAGCAACAGAATCAAGAAGTTTCTCACCTATTTAT